AGACTAAACAGTACTGATAGTCCTTCACCTTAACTACAGACTAAACAGTACTGATAGTCCTTCACCTAAACTACAGACTAAACAGTACTGATAGTCCTTCACCTAAACTACAGGCTAAACAGTACTGATAGTCATTCACCTAAACTACAGGCTAAACAGTACTGATAGTCCATCACCTTAACTACAGACTAAACAGTACTGATAGTCCTTCACCTAAACTACAGACTAAACAGTACTGATAGTCCTTCACCTTAACTACAGACTAAACAGTACTGATAGTCCGTCACCTTAACTACAGACTAAATAGTACTGATAGTCCCTCACCTTAACTACAGACTAAACAGTACTGATAGTCCGTCACCTTAACTACAGACTAAACAGTATTGATAGTTCTATACCTAAACTACAGGCATACATCAGGAACCATCACACCATGACTATTAGGAGTTGCATTGTTTAAGGCATAATTCAATGGTGAACATAAAAGAAATTCAATTTGTTTATGTGTATATTAAATAAGGATCAAGCAAAAGGAAAAGAAAATGATTTAATCAAGGTCACTTTTTAGACTGAATACCAAATTTAAAAATTTGCTATTCATATTAAGGGTAAATACATGATGTTTGTCAAGGAAGGATTGTGGTCACATGGTGTTGAGGACCTCAGTCAAATGACAGATTTTACTTGGCCTCCAAATGACATAAACAAAACAAGTAACCCATGACCAAATCAGAAAATGACAAGATTCCTTGATCATGATTGACTCTTAATATCATTGTACATATATGAACTATATGTTGTTACCATCCTTTTAAATTCTCAAACATCACTTTTGTTTCCATTTGTGTCAGTCTACCTTGCCAGAATCTCTGCGTGTTCCTCTAACATGTCTTCTGTCATAGGGGCAGGTTCTTGTGTAACAGGAATATACATCTGCTCACTTGATTCAATTAACTGGAGGTCTCCAAAAGGGGCCAGGCGCCCCACAGGCCCATCACTATAACTGTCCTTGAAGGTAGTGTCATTGTTGGAATCTAAACTATCACCACTCCCAGCTTCTTCCTGGCTATTATCACTATTGACGTCACATTGGGTTTCATCTGCCTCCTTATCTGGATCACCCAATCTCTTTTTCCAGTATTTCTTCTTTTTAACCTGACCTTCCTCTCTGTCTCCCACCTCCATACTTTCCTTATGAGAAGTAGCTTCATCACATTCAAAAAACTCGTCCTCGCTTGAACTCTGCACATCCATGTGAGAAAGCTTGGTGGCCTTGTCATTTGAGCTGGAGTCTGAGAGGCTGTTCTGTTTGACACTGGACATACGACCTGCTTTATTATCACCCGATCTTCTTCTCTCTGACCGAGTGTGCCCCGAATCAACACCTCCCCCTCCTGCCTCTGTGTTCTCATTAGTGTCCTCATTTGCAGACACACAAACATTTTCCAAGTTACCTTCGTAGCCTTTAAATAATTGTTCTCTCTTCATTTTTCTCTCAATGCAACAGTTTAGCATCTACAGTAAACAAAGTTTAACTTCATTTAATATTTCAAAATATAATGCATTACAATCATGACAGTTACAGGTAGACATAGAACAACTTTATTCAGACAATCTACAGGTAGACATAGAACAACTTTATCCAGACAATCAACAGGTAGACATAGAACAACTTTATCCAGACAATCTACAGGTAGACGTAGAACATTTATATCCAGACAATCTACTGTTAGACATAGAACAAATTTTTCCAGACAATCTACAGGTAGACATTGTACATTTATATCCAGACAATCTACAGGTAGACATAAGACAACTTTATCCAAACAATCTACAGTTAGACATAAAACATTTATATTCAGACAATCTACAGGCAGACATAGAACATTTATATCCAGACAATCTACAGTTAGACATAGAACAACTATATCCAGACAATCTACAGGTAGACATAGAACATTTATATCCAGACAATCTACAGGTAGACATAGAACAACTTTATCCAGACAATCTACAGGTAGACATAGAACAACTTTATCCAGACAATTTACAGGTAGACATAGAACAACTTTATCCAGACAATCTACAGTTAGACATAGAACAACTATATCCAGACAATCTACAGGTAGACATAGAACAACTTTATCCAGATAATCTACAGGTAGACATAGAACATTTATATCAAGACAATCTACAGGTAGACATAGAACAACTATATCCAGACAATCTACAGGTAGACATAGAACATTTATATCCAGACAATCTACAGGTACACATAGAACAACTATATCTAGACAATCTACAGGTAGACATAGAACATTTCTATCTAGACAATCTACCGGTAGACATAGAACATTTATATCCAGACAATCTACAGGTACACATAGAACAACTATATCTAGACAATCTACAGGTAGACATAGAACATTTCTATCTAGACAATCTACAGGTAGACATAGAACAACTTTATCCAGATAATCTACAGGTAGACATAGAACATTTATATCTAGGCAATCTACAGGTAGACATAGAACATTTATATCCAGACAATCTACAGGTAGACATAGAACAACTATATCTAGACAATCTACAGGTAGACATAGAACATTTATTTCCAGACAATCTACAAGTAGACATAGAACAATTACTTTATCAACATTCCTTGTACCATGATACCAACATAATTTCACAGCTACAACATGTCCAATCCTGAAACCCTATGTGATTGACTTCTGAAGCTTGGACTCTTAGAGTCTTTCTTTTAAGGATGGTTTTAACTTTAGAATATATCAATGCAATCATATCTATCTTTGTGTTCTGTTAATGAGTTTACAGCTTCTACAAACCTTGAAAACTCAAGTTATTTCTAGCAGTATAAGAATATATACATTACAATAGTTAAACCGTACCCTTAACCAGATATTACACTTGTTACTTTTACTGCAATCCAAGGTATTCATGTTATCATTACAGAAGTTTAAGTGCTCTAGATGAAAAATAGAAATAATTATTCATTAAAAGGTAAACAGAGAGGGAAAGCAATTATACCTGTAATTTTTGGTAGATCAGACATGTTCCCAAGTTAGGTGCTCCAGGTTCAATACTGTAAACCAAAAACATTTACATATTATTACATTATACCAGTAGTGACATGATTCTACAGTAAAATAATCCTACTGTTCGACCTGTTTACCATACATTATACCAGTAGTGACATGATTCTACAGT